ACCGAAAGAAGAGGAAATTTTGGTTAAAGAAATTCCCAGAAAACAAATAAAGACCTGCCCTGATACCCTAGGTGGGACCCCATGGCTGATCTTTAGATGAGTTTAAAAGATGTTTTTGTTTCATTTTAGAATAGTAAATCAATTTAATATGATCAAAAATTAGATCCATTGTGAAAGTTTCAATAATCCCAAAACAAATATATATCATTGTTGGAGAGAAAGTGGCTTTTAGTTGTTTGACTTTTTGCACAATATCACAGGCTTAAGCAGCTTAATTGCACATGTTGGTGATTATCTCAAGTAAAGTCCAAGTGCAAAGTGTACCTTCCAGCTCTTGGCGATAACATCCACTTATCATGTAAGTCATGTTATTACCATCAGATGGCCAAAAACAAGAGTTAAGAAACAAACTGAGTTTTGTATAATTAATCACAGCAAGCATATGTTCTTAAAATTCCATATTTTGAAAGTAAATGCCAGTTTCACTCTCACCACTTTGAAGACATCACCAATTGAAAACTCCCAATTACAATGTTCTTTAACAACCTCTACATTTTATTACATAAAGGGAGAACATTCAATGTAGGAAGTTTCGGAAAAAAGAAAATTATACAGCAGAAAATTAAACTCACTCATAATCTCATCACTCAAAAATGGCGTCATTGATATCATTTGTCTTTGCAGAATTGTGTTTTATGGGATGTTTCTAGTATCAGTGGAAGGTATACTATATATTTTTAGTTTCCTGTATATCATAACCATGTACATGTAATACTCCATTGGCATAATACACTGCAGCTCATTTATCCATTTTCCTGTTGGTAGACAGGTCTTGTATTCTCACCTTCACACAATGATAGTAATATAACTGTAAGCACTGGTTTGGAGACAGATATCTGCAGAATAAATAAAATCTATAAAGCTGCTATTGATTCTGGATATCAGACACACAGAGGACTGAGATAAGTACATAAAGAACAATAATAATAAAAACCTTTCAAGATCAAATTTTTGTTACAAAACACAAAGCTATTTAAATAATTTTATAGCCCATTAATTAGTGCTGTGCTATAAATATAGTGAGATGTCACCTCTCTGCTTGATTTACATTAGTTTTAAGCAGCATTTGTTTTCCACTTTAGCATCCTATCATCAATAGAAATTGAAATAACAGAGGGAAAATCTGTAGGATATGAATGTTGACATGATTTCCAAAAAAATTTCAAAATGTAGTCCATATATCAGATTAGGTGTAATAAAGCTTGGGGCCAAAACTGATCTGGGTTGTACTTCCACATGAGATAGAATACAAAAAGTGAAGTTACAAGTCCTGGAATTATGCTGTCTACTGTCTCCTACCCATTCCTACTTCAGTACTTAGCTTCCTGCCTTTGCAGAAATTCCCTGTGTTGCTTCACAGCTCTTGGATTGCTGGCTAATAACTTTGTCATTCAGATTAGGCTAGCTCAGGCCACAATACCCCAAACCCCCAAGCCTCAATGGCCTAGAAATGTTTCTTTTATAGCCATATTTAATGGTCCAGGATGAGTGAGAAGCAGATCTGACTCATTCCACCTTCCCACCAGGACCCAGACTGAAGGAGCAGCCACTTTCTGGGATAGCTCTTCTCAGGGCAAAGGGGAAAAAGAAAAAGGTGAACCATTCTCCCTAGTGGTCTTTAAAGATGCCACTTCATAACAGCCCATTTTCCTTTTTTTCATGCTCATTGGCTGAAGCAGTCCTGATGATGGAAGCTAATGTCTGGGAGATGGCAACGAAAGGGAGAAGTGTATCTTCCTGCAGGCAGAAACCATGGTCTCTGAAAGTGAGGCAGATAACCATCATCTTCCTATGTGCCAGCAGATTTAATGGGAGTTATCTGACTCCATATAATACCTCTCAATGGTTGTATATCTAGCAAGGCTTCTTAATTATATTTTTAATTGTAGTGAAGTACACATAAAATTTACCATTTTAGCCATTTTTCATTGGACACTTCAATGGGGCTAAGTATCTTCATATTGCTGTGCCATAGGTCTCCAGATCTCTTCTCAGCTTGCAGATGGGAAACTGTCCCTCATTAAACAGCTCCCCACTCCCCCTCCACCAGCCTCTGGCACCCCTGTTCTCCTTTCTGCCTCTGTGGATTTCACTACCATAGATACCTCATTGGTGGAATCATATAGTGCTTTTTGTGTGGTGTGTGTATGTGATTGGTTTATTTCACTTAGTATAATGTCCCCAAGGTTCAACCATGCTGTATAGCATGTCCTTATTTCATTGCTTTTTTAAGGCTGAATAATATTCTGTTAAATGCATATATCATACTTTGTTTATCCATTCATCTTTTGGTGGACAATTTAAATTGGGTTGCTTCTGACTTTTGACTAATAATGCTGCAATGAACATGAGTAAATGATGTTTTTGTCTTTTTTAAAACTCTGGGGTCCAGATAACCCATATACAGAGATGAGCATTAATGGCAAAGTAATGCTATGAGGATCTAGTAAATGGTTATATAAAGGCACGTTCTGCAATGCCCAACATGTTACAGATGTTTGATCAGCATTACCTGACTGACAGTAATAGAATTTTGAACATGGAAAATAGTTTAGAATTCTCCAGATGATGTTATTCTTACCTGTGATTAAAAAAAGGATTATTTTTAAGGTTGCTCACAAACATGTTTAAATCTTTTTAAAGGAAGCATTAGATTATTTTATTTTATTTTCGGCTATTTGCAAAGAATTTAATTAAAAAGAGCAATGAGAAAGAAATTCCTACACTCGATAGACAAGGCAGGCATTTCAATAAAGGACGGACAGCCCAGCCTGTAGTCAGACTAGGTTTTACTGGACATGAGTTTGGGCCCCTCCATTTCTTCTCCCCTCCTCCCTCTTCTGGGAAAGTGCAGGCGGGGGAGTTTTGAATGTGGACTTCCCCTAAACAACCCCCTCCTCATCAAGTTTCTTATCTATTGCAGAAGTAAATAGTCCAGTTGGCCAGCTGTATTGGTGAATTCATTTTGATAAAGGACAAACAAGGACACCTTGGGCTAAAGGGGACAGATAAGAGGCTAGGTCCTGGTTTCTAAGACTTGTTTCCTCCTTCCACTACAGATACTGTCTTTCAAATAAATTAAAAAAATTTTTTTACCTCTTATATACATAAGCTAGTATCTACCTAGAGACCTTAGCTGCATTTATGTTAGAAGGCATCAAAAATGTTGCTGTTAAGTCAAGCTCATTATTGGGTGAATCTTATTGTTTAGTATGAGGTTAATGTAGACATTTACATTTTAAAAAAATCAAGTCAACTCTTTATAAATAGCAAAAATGACAAAAGCAATACATGACAAAAGCATTATATGACTCTCTGATGCTGAAAAACGTTGATAATCAGGATTCAAAAAGAACAGTCAGACCCAGGACAAGCTTTTTTATTTTTCATTCCCTTTCAGTTTTCCTGTTTTTTGTCTTTCTGTCATTTCAAAAAGTATTCATTTCTGGCTAAACTCACTCCACTTATCTGTTTGGGGACTCAAACAAGGTAAACCCCAATGTCAGTCACTTCTTCTGCAAGGCAGGTATCGGGATAGGTGATTCAACCATAATTACTCAAGCTCTCTAAAACCTCCAAACACATACCTTTTGGTAAGACAGACCATTGTAAAGCAGCATCAAATCAAACCTGTGCCAGGCCACGGGAAATGACACTCTGGGGAGATGTTCTGACAGCTCCACCTTCCTGTCATGTGGATTGAGCCACCAGAATTGGTTATTAGTATTTCAACCTTAAGCAACTGCCATTTATATTTGTTATCAAAGCGTTGCAGCTTGGACAATCTTAGCTGACCTAATTCATTATTAATATCATACTACAAAATTTTAGAGACAACATAGAATAATTTTAAAGAGAAGACAGTGAGCAAGAGAACCCCCAGAGAATATAGTCTTGTGTGGGGTCATCAGTTACACACAAGTAACCGAGAGCTCTTCTGAGCTGTGAGTGTATTTTCTTTATGAAGGAGCCAATAATTCATAGAAATTTCCCTGGATAACCACTCATTTATATCACTTTCTCATTACGAATCCCGTTAAGCCAATCACCATCTGTAGTTAAATGCACAAGGACACCATATTACAGTACTTTTCTGGGCAATTGTGATTCTATTGGTTAGTAACTAATATTATGCTTGCTGTTTGTGGATGACAAGAAACTGAATTCCCAGTGTCCTACCTGAGTTGGCACTGAGTAATGCCCGAGATGACTCCCCACTCCCCATCGTGGTTGACAGTCCAGTGTTCCCAAGAGAAAGATAAACTAGGAATCCATGTGTATAAGCCTGAGAGAGTTTCATTAATTCACTAATGGAATTCTCATTAACTTTTTAGTGTGTTGCCTTATTTTTCTCAAAAACGGATTTAAACTTGGAAAATGAAGACTTTAAAATATGGACCCTCTGTTGCAGTTTTTCATGTGTGTAGCCATTACTTCATGAGAATAAATCTAAGTAATCCTTATTTTTGATTGCCTCTCATTTTGCTCATCTTACAAGGCTGGCTTAAAAATCATCCACACTTCATTTCCTGTGACTTTAATCTGCTCCTTTGGCAATTTCTCTCAGCCTCTGTGTCAAAACAAGTTGCACTGCCTGCCTCTCTCGACTCATCAAGCCTCCCTCTAGTGGTGGGTAAAGGAATTTCCTTATCTGTCAGCCTGCCAGCCCGTCTTCTCTGAAACATTAAATGCCGTAAAGTGTGAAGTGACCTAAGGTATATGATGAGTAGGATAAAATGAATTATCTCGCAATTAAAGTGAAATACCTTTTTAAGGGAGAGTTCGCTACTGTTATTTTTCTGATTCCATCTATAAACCATGCATCACCAAAGAGATACTGCTCTATTTCCACTAGCGTCCTGCGCTGGTCATTTATCTGCTCCGTGTGAAATAACACTCCGTGATCATATCGGTTTTAATTTCTCATTTTGCATTTCCAGCTCCCAGTCAGCCACCAGGAAATGTTGTCTGGAATGCTACCGACACGAAAGTGTTACTTAATTGGGAGCAAGTTAAAGCAATGGAGAATGAATCAGAAGTAACAGGATACAAAGTAAGCTGCAGTATTTGCAAAGCGTTGTTGCCTTCTTTCTGTGCTTTCCAAGGGATGCTGGATCCAGTGAATTTTCTAAACATTGGTGATGTGCTTTCTGTAATCTAATTTTGACATAGATGTCAAACATTTCATAAAGAGAGTAGTTTACTAAAATCTCTGATTTTTAAAATGCAGATGCATATCAAATAATTCCACTAACATGGGAATTTTGGACACAGTATAAATTGTGCACTTATCAATTTGCTGCTTCTGATGCTCACCTATATATTATTTTATAAACAACAAAAATATTGGCTCTGATTCCTTGATTAGGCATCCCAGGGGCTCATACAGTATGGCCCTGCCCTACCTCTCCAGCCTCACAACGACTCAATCCAGCTAAGCCTTTCCATGGAAGCATTTGCTCTTCTCTCACTTCCTTAAATTTTTCCAAAGATTTATTTATTTGAAAGGCAGAGCAACAGAGAAGGGGATGGGGGTGCAGAGAGAGATCTTCTATCTACTGGTTCCCTCCCCCAAAGGGCAACAATAGCCAGATCTGGAACAGGCCAAAGGCAGGAGCCAGGGACTCCATCCTAGTCCCCCACATGGGTAGAGGGTGCCCAAGTATTTGGGCCATCTTCCATTGCTTTCCTAGGCTCATTAGCAGAAAGCTGGATTAGAAGTGAAGTAGGGGCTGGTGTTGTGGTATAGTGAATAACCTGCCACAGTCTGAAATGGCAGCATCCATATGGGCACCAGTTCAAGACCCAACTTCTCCACTTCTGATCTAGTTCCCTGCTAATGCACCTGGGAAAGCATTGCTGGATGGCTCAAGTGCTTGAGTCCCTGCACCCATGTGAGAAACCTGGAAGAAGCTCCAGGCTCCTGGCTTCTAATGGGCCTAGACCCAGCTGTTGTTGCTATTTGGGGAGTGAACCAGCAGGTGTAAGATCTCTTTCTCTCTCTCTCTCCCTCTCCCTCTCCCTCCCTCTCTCTCTCTAACTCTGCCTTTCAATAAATAAATACTTTTTTAAAGAAATAAGTAAAGCATCCAGGGCACAGCAGAACTCCAGTGTGAGACGCCAGCCTAGCATGTGGCAACCTGACCTGCTGCACCACAATGCCAAACCCCACCTCCTTGGCTTTGAGAACCTGATAATTCTTCCACATGCTAAGCCCTAATCAGAGTCCTGTGGACAGAGCTGAGAAAGCAATTTATAGTCCAGTGGGTATAAAAAGACAAGATAATTTTGGAGTCACAACTTCCATGAACAAAACAAAAGAGAGCAGTATAAGAAATAAGTATTTGGCCAGCGCCGTGGCTCACTAGGCTAATCCTCCACCTAGCGGCGCCGGCACACTGGGTTCTAGTCCTGGTCGGGGCACCGGATTCTGTCCGGGTTGCTCCTCTTCCAGGCCAGCCCTCTGCTGTGGCCTGGGAAGGCAGTGGAGGATGGTCCAAGTGCTTGGGCCCTGCACCCCATGGGAGACCAGGATAAGCACCTGGCTCCTGCCTTCGGATCAGCGCGGTGCACTGCAGCGATGCAATGGCCGTGGCGGCCATTGGAGGGGTGAACCAATGGCAAAAGGAAGACCTTTCTCTCTGTCTCTCTCTCCCTGTATACATGAGAATATAAAGAGATATCACCGGGAGAATAGTGTATTTTGTGTATTTGTTTATTTTAGGTTTTCTATAGGACTAGCAGTCAAAATAATATGCAAGTGCTGAGCACTAATAAAACGTCGGCTGAACTCTTGCTCCCCATCAAAGAAGACTATATCATTGAGGTCAAGGCCACAACAGATGGAGGCGATGGGACCAGCAGTGAACAGATCAGGATTCCAAGGATAACCAGTAAGTGGATGGAAGTCATTCATTGCTTCCTTCATTTGTATCAGTGTTGTCAGCTCCAAGAGGAAGTCAATCGCAGCGCCTCCTTCTGTTCTTCCTCCCCAGCCTGTCTTTCATTCAGGCACTGAGAAGGTTTTAGAATATTCGAGATGAGGGTGGGAGCAATTCCTTCAGATGCATACAAAACAGGAGGAAAGATAAGGATGAAAGGAAGGACATAAGAACACTTAGCAACACCTTATTAATTTTATTTCCCCCTCATTCTGCCTAAATCTGCCCTTGAATTGTTTATAGAAACAGAATTCCCTGAGCATTTCTCAAAAACAGTGTTGAACCCTGACACTGGTTGTAGGATCTTTAGTATTCCAGTCTTTGGGCTTCAACAAACTGTAGATCAGTCTTATTCATTCTTGAAGTAGAAGAAATAACATTAGTTAGGTCATAAACCCCTCAGGTGTGCCAAACTGAAAGGTAGCTTTTTAGAAGAAATTTTGTTTTTAATTTCAAAGAAGCTTCCCCTTAAGTTTTCCATTCAGAGTGTACCTGAGACCTGCTTTACTTATGGAGATTGCACTTGGAGAGGCAAGCAGACTTTGCCACACTTAGGAGCAGCGTCAAAAGAACTCGCAGAAATTTATTTCCTAATTCCATTTTCCAAACAAATTTGAAGCCCGCCTGTGTTTTATCAGTGACAATGGCAGAAGCAATTTTGTCTTTTCTTGTAAATTCCATGTCTGGAGTTTCAGGGCCTCCACCTGACTACTGTAGGGCCCATTTTGTCTTCATATTCAAGTCTAGTTCTTAGTGACAAAAATGACTTTATTCATTGCCCTACTTGATGTTATCAAGAAACCAAGATTGAAACTTTTGTCTTTAATCTTGCAAAAGGGAATGACTGACATTCCCAGCTGCAGAGAAGGGGAGATGTAAGAACTTGGAGGAATTTTATATTTCCAAGAAATCATAAAGACCATCATACTTAGACTAAAACCAGCAAATGAAGCCATCCTACAAAAATGAGAACTATTGATCTTAAAATTCAGTTCTGCAATGTAAAAGTCTGTAAAATGTCATTTTGTGCTACTGACATTTCTAAAGCCGTCTGCACTTGAGTTTATTATTATTAATTTAGGTTATAAAATAGTCAACACGTGCTTTACGTTCCCTGGGTAGTGCAAGGTATAGAGTTAGGTTACAGCAGACAAACTGGCACTGATAAAAGAAGGCAGCTCTCTACTTTTTCAGGGACAGACACGGTTTAGCCTTTCACGGCTGCTGGGTCCAAGGGCTACCCTTTCCTCTGACCTCTGCCACCTCGCTGAGTTTGCACAGTTTGGCGACTGTGCAAGGCTGGCTCTCCGAAAATGGAACTTTTGTCAACTGCTTCTTAAAAATGTTTTATAATAGGCATAATAATGTAGCTGGGAATGCATAAAATAGAAACAAGCACAGATTTTTCCAGACTCTTATCCAATGAAGCTTTCTTTAATTAAACCATTGAATTATCTCAAAATTGTTTGTGATCTAGTATAATTGTTTTCAAAATGATTAAGTTGTTTTTCCAATTTCAATTAAAGTTAAATAATACTAGATGAACAAAGCCTGGACTCACTTAAGAAAACTTGCGCACATCAGTGTCTTTATAGATACTGTTGATAACTGGTATAGCCTGCATCTGTAAATAAAATGAGGACAAATAATAACGTGATCCTGGGGGATGTTCACACTATAATTTGATTTTGATCCTAAAGGCATTCCTTTTCCCTGGTGTCTAAGTCCATTCAGGCTACTTTAACAAAATATCATGGGCTGAGTATCATAGAAGTAACAGACATTTATTTAATTCTCATGGTTCTGGAGGTTGGAAAATCCAAGATCAAGGTCCTGGCCTCTTTGGTGTCAATTCTTAAAAGATTCGCCTCCTAACACCATCACACTGGGGGGATAGGATTTCAGCATGAGATTTCTTGGGTGACACAAACCTTTGTATAGTATGTACATTGTATATGGGTGCAGTTCTTAGTAATGAGCTGTGATCACCTTTGGCAGGTATGGATGCAAGAGGATCCACTTCAGCCATCTCCAACGTCTGCTCTGTGTCAGGCTATATCCCTATAGCACTCTTCTTTATTGTGAATGCCCTGTGGTGATATCTACTCTTTTTTGGTACTCATCGGAAAGTTCATTGGTTACCCGAAAAAAGTGCTTTCATGAAACGCAGTGATTATGCATGTGTTTTTCAACCCTGTATTTTTAACTTTCTACTTCATTATAGGTAAAATATGAATATAATAAAACAGTACATCCTTTTAGGGGAATCTGAAATGCCTTAATATTTACTTGATAAACCAAAGGAATTTACATATTATGTACTTCAGATTTTTGATATAATTGATCTTAAGCTATGAATTTAAGCACTGCCTATAGTTAAAGACTCACACACTCTCAAGTGTACACACACACACACACACACACAGAGGCACAGATAAACAGATGTGAAGGTTTTTTTTTCATTAATAAACTCACTTAATCCGAATGCTATTTCCTTATTATAACAGCAGTATTTCTAAGATGTAATCAGTGTCATTTTGAAATGCTGACTTAAATCCTCAAAGGTAAAAAATGCATTTTAAAAATTATCAAGTTGGATGAAGGCAGGATGTGATTTGGAGAGTGGGGCTGGAAGTGCCTGTCTGGGCTCTGGTTCAGGATACTATGAAATGGCCAAGAGAATTTAGAAACCACTTTGCTCTCTGAATTTCTCAATTACTCGTCTGTAAAAGGTAGAGATAATAATACGATCTGCTCCGTCTCTGCCCCATAAATCAATCGTTTAATGATAGAGAGGAAAACATGAAAGTACTTTGGCACCCCAAATGCAGCGGGCCTGTGCTGAATGTTACCATGAATTTCCTTCAGTACGTAGAAGTTACGAGGACCGGCTGGTTCATCTTGCATTCTACTTTCTAGAGAATGCCTTCTATTCCAATCGGTGATAAAAATTGGACGTAATCACATTTTATCCATTCTCAAAAAATTAGAACAAAATTTAAAAAGGAATTGTTTCCTTCATGCCTATGAACGAGCTTTCAGGTTTTATTAAAAGCTGGTGTGAACAATAAGCAAGGACCTGAATCTCAACTCAAATATTAAACAAGATCCACAGAATCCTTCATTTCCAATTTCTGATTCCATTAAGGGGCCCTCTCCTCTTTGGGTGGTGGAGATGGTTTTTTAATGAAATCCCACCTTGTATCTGAGTGAGTCTGGCAGGCTTTTTAGTTTCTGAGTTAAATTTGTAATAGAACCATGGTGATGCTGCTGACTTTGATATGTATGACTCAGTCTTTCAATATATGCTTTTCAAAGGATTGTTGGAGACATGACTTCATAGCAATATGTAGAGAATATATGAAAATTGGCAGATTGAGTGTTAGACATTGCAAAATCAATTTTTTTACCTCTTTCCTACCAATTTCACATTTTGCTGGAACTTGTTCATATTTCCATAGATAACAGAATTTGAGAACCAACAGTTCAGAAATCAAGAAAAAAAATAAAAATTAGGAAATTCTGATATCCTTATAAAATACCACTTTACATTTAGAGATTACATTTAAGTTAATGTCATCTTACACGAAGGAGAAAAATGTAACTTTCTCTGTAAGATCTGTATATAGTGTATATATCTAGAAAATAATCGGAATGGCTAGTAAATTTCATTTGACCGTTGTTATTTCCAGTCAAAAAGTGAGGAAGCACCTTCTCCAGTACTTGTATTTTATGCTACATGTAATGGAGTTGTACCTTTTTATTATTTAGTAATTTCTATACTATGTTCCTATACTCTTTGTTTTCAAGATGATTATTATTTCATGTCCTTTCTAGCAAAATATCTCCATGAGATATGTACTTTGTTTCATATTGAAAAGTATAAAATTTATCTTTAAATTCCTGTGTGTGTATCCTATGGTTATCTGTATGTATTATTTTCTATTATTCTAATAAAATTTATAATAATCAAGGCTCATATATCATTTATTGTGATAAGAACTTCTACAGAGGCAAAGAGGGAACCATCATAGCTTTGGAGGTGTTATTATTTCTTCTATGTTTCAAGCAAAAATTTAGCTTTCCCATTTTTTGACAGGATATTTTAAATAATATTTTTATATTGTACTAATTTAATAAAATCTGCACTTTGAGACAATACCCTCACCCCCCCATATTCAAGATATTTCAACTCTGAGGAAAAGGGAAACAGAAAACCCACTTTATGGAATTATGGTGCCTAATTTCTTTGGCTTTGTGTGGCCACAAGTGGCTCCTCCCATATTTTTGACAAGTAGTTTCTTAAAATGTATCAGGCCCAGAGCAGTGCTATGGCATAGTAGGTTAAGCTGTCGACTGCAATGCAGGCAATCCATATGGGTGCCAGTTCAAGTTCTAGCTCCTCCACTTCCAATGCAGCTCCTTGCTAATGTGTCTGGGAAAGCAGCAGAGGATGATCCAAGTGCTTGGGCCCCTGCACCCACATGGGAGACCTAGAAGAAGCTCCTGGCTCCTGGCCCCTGTCTTTGTCCTGGCCCCGCACTGGTCGTTGTTGCCTTCTGGGGAGTGAACCAACAGATGGAAGACCTCATTCTCTGTAGCTCTCCCTCTCTCTCTAACTCTGCTTTTCAAATAAATAAAATAAAATCTTTAAAAAAAACGTATCAGGCCCTTCATAGGTTTTCTCATTATTACCAAGTTAGAGACTTGCTTTTAGGTGGTCCTTGACATATACCCTAATTATCTGACAAACATATTAGAAAAAGATTCATTTTAATTAATAAACACTTAAGTATTATCACTGATGTAGGGAAAATGAGAGCTAAGATAATATTTCAATCATTTTCTTACCCAAAAATTGAAATATTTGTTTAGAGGTAGGAGAATTAAGTTAGAAGACTATACTGGTTGTGTAGATGTGAGGGGTGTTTGTGTGTGTGTGTGTGTGTGTGTGATTTCAAATACAGTTGTAATGGGTTTACTAGCATACCTTAAAAGAGGGGAAAGACCTGAAGAATACATTGAAACAAATTATACAACTGAAATATTGTAGTCCCTCTTCCTGCCCCCAGAAAACTGGGTCTGCCCTCCCAGTGTGCAACAAGCCAATCCCTAACACCAAGGTCCTAGAAGCAAGCAGGAGTTTATTTTGCAATGCACAGAGCAAGGACTCGAGTGGCTGTCGCTCCATTCTCAGACTCTCCCAGGGAGTGAATCTAGAAAGCTGGGGTTGAGCAGTGCATGATGGACTTGTGTGTAGGCCCCTGGTTGGTCCACAGTGCTTTTGGCCTTCCTTGGATTGGTCAGCTGTCATAGGCCAACGCATGCCTCTGACATTGCTGCAATGACAAAGCGGGCTCTGGCTCATCTGGGGTCTATGCGTAGATGGACGACTGCTTTGAGCAGGGCCTGGAGTTCCTGAGAAGGATCTCAGGCTGGAGTCTAGCGCTGGGATGTGAGCTATTGAAGTGATCACTGAATTCTGTGTCTTGTGACCTGGGGCCTCCTAGCACTACCCAGGCACCTGCACCACACCCTTCACTTAGTGAATTAATAGTGGAAAGGAGTGGACTTGTCATCACCAAAGTGAAGGAAGACAGAGGAACTGCAAGCTGAGGGAGGGAGCCTTGGGCCTGAGAGTTTCAGTCAGAGGCATTAGGGAGAGGGGCTCAGTTATGGAAACAGTTCTAGTACTGTGTCTCCTGAAGCCAGAGCTGAGTGGCAGGGGAGAAGCCTCGGTCAGCTTTGTGCCATAGCCCTGACTTGAGAAATATTTTCCCAGTGTCGTGATCATGGTCAAGTTCTATAGCCTCTCTAAGCCCCAGTCTCCTTCTTACAGGAAAGCTATCCTAGCTAAGATTGACCCTAGATTCAAAATGCTTTAAGTAAAAATTACAACAATATTTTAATTTTCACTCTATGTTTTCTTTAAAAGGGTCTGCAGATTTTTTTTTTGTATTTTCAGTGATGTTATCATTTTCAATGAAAACCAAGCAGTGGAATGGTGACCTAAAGAAAATTTAAAATGATCAGAATTTTACAAGTCCTCCTTTTCCAATTAAAATCCCCCCTGCCGTTTCATAGTCTTATAATGCCAGCTTTTTTACTTAAAATTAATCTTAATTGGGTTCGTTTTTTTCTAAAGTATTTTACTCTTTTTAAACATGAAAATTGTACTGATATTCATTATAATTTGGATACACTTCAGTAAATATTGGAGGTGAAATCAACCCACAACAGAAATTACAAAATTAGCAATTAGTAAATTGTACCATTCTTTTGAAAGAAAATATGTAAACAGACTGGAAAATGGATTGTTAAGTTTTTCTACTGTTTTTATTTAAGCCAAGTTCCCTAATTTAACATGCCTTGCTTGCATGTAGGTGATAATTACCTCTTGAACTTGATGGAGAATTAATGCACTGACAGAGAATTAAGCTTGTAGGAAAGGAATGTTCCTGTCATTTGTCAGTCTTCATTCTTATTCTTTGCTCCTACTCTGCCTGTTGAAATTATCTTAGAGTCTGATGATTCTACCTTGGTCATTAATACCGTGGGGCAGAGAATGAACTCAGTCCTTTACAACTGGATATACCCTGGGAAATTTCAGACAAATGATAAGGATGGCAAATTAGCAGATTTACTTTGTCCTCAGACAGCAGAATGTGACAGACACAAAGCTCATATAGAATGTATATCAAGACTAGCTAAGGAGCGGATAGAATGTCTGCTCGGTATTGTTGCATTGGCATGTCCAAAGCTTCTAGACAAGGACCATTTCCTGTCCAAAGCTACACTTAGAGATACAGGGAAATGTTCACGGGATCTCAGTCCCTGGTGCAGTGCACGCCCTGTGCAGGGTTCATTCATCTTTGTGTGCACCTTACATACGTGACGACTAAAACCAGTGTTATCTTCCACCATTTTCTCTTATCATCTCCTATTTTGCTTGCTTGATTTTCCTCCCTGCTACCTCTGGAGACAATATGATTATTAAGAGAGTGGGGGTATTATAAGATGTTATTTAACATAATGATAAGCAGTAGGCCATCGGTATGGAGAATTTTGATGAATTTGGGAAGAAGGTATTATTGCCTAATGATGAAGAGTATGTGTTGCCAATTGTAGATTGGGGTTGGAATCCAAGTCATGTCCCTAAGTAACTTTGGCTTTGGGCAAGCAAGTTAATTCTTTCAAGACAACGAATCTTCATCTCAGAAATGGTACCAATGGGAGAACCTGTCGTGTAGCGTTGCTGGATTATAGAGATACACTCGCAGGAATCATTTATCACTGTTCAGCTCATGACTACACAATAACATTTTTCAGTGAGTTAATATGGTGCCAACAGTGTGGCACAGCTCTTTCAATGCCTGCATCCTGTATCCAAGTTCCAGTTCCAGTTCTGGCTTCTCTGCTTCCTCTCCAGTCCCTGCTGATATTCCCATGAAAGCAGCAGAAGATGGCCTCTACCACTCACATGGGAGACTCAGATAAGTTTTCAAGTTGCTGAGTTTGGCCTGGCCCAGACCTGGCCTTTGCAGCCATTTGAGGAGTGAACCAGCAAATGGAAAATCTATCTATCTATCTATCTATCTATCTATCTATCTATCTATCTCTTTCTGTCATATCTATATATCTATCTATCTCTGTCACTCTGACTTTCAAGTAAAATAAATTTTTTTGTGTAAAGTTAATGCTACTGTTAATAATGATTAGGCTTTAAGGTCTAATCATTCCACAGGAGTCAGTCATAAAATACACATACCTGTATCTACCAAAAGATGGGTCACTCGTCCAGAGATTTAGGTGAATCTCAGGCCTTGGGACTAGAGATGCAAGATAAGACCCTTCCCTTTAGAGAGCTCACCTTCTCCTGACAAAATAATGTGGAAGAAGGGACTAGAGCAGAGGTGGGAAACCTTTCTTCTGCCAAGGATCGTTTGGATTTGTACAATCTCACTCGTGGACCGTACAAAATGATCAACTGAAAAATTGGCCTGTGATGATGTATTGAATTTGTCTTGGCAGGGCCAGTCCATGGCCGGATGTTCCCTTTCCTTGGGTGACTAGAGTGGTATTTATGGATGTAGAAGATGCTTTAGAATCCATGCTCCAGTCATTATGAGGACTGAGATCCTGTTCTTTAGATATGTTAGCACAATGCTTTGGGTATTTGATGAACTGAGCCTCTATGGGCTGCTGGTCTTAACTCTCTCAAAAAAGGACCCACGTGGCCCGTGTCTCATAATGTTGCCACGAATAAACGCCAGCGATAGTGTTCAGAAGGATATTTAGAAAGAAAAGACCAGGAGCTTGACTGCTGCCTTTAAATACATGAAGCCTCTGCATGACTCGGTCTGTTCCTCCCAAATGACAGTAATTGGGCTGAGATGAGAGCCACTTGACCTGGCCAGGCTGGTCCAAGCTGCGGTACCATCTGGAAAGGAGTCTCAGAAGTCGAGCCCTGAGGACACTGGATTGACTTGGAGCACAGAGCGGTGTGTTGAGTAAGAGGATCTAGTCTCCACGAGTCCTGTCCAGAGTGTCTCATAGAGGGCTATCTGTGTTCTTATGTGGGGCTGGTTACCTCAAGCCTCCAGGAGCCCCATCTGTGAGTGACAGGCTCCAAATCGGCTCAGTCCCTTGGGTTCCTGCCATGCTATGGTCTCCCTTCAGAAACCAACACAGTTGCCTCTGCCCAGCATTGACTAGCCCCTTTTCTTTAATAAAAAAAAAAAAAAAAAGAATGTATTTGTGAGGCAGAGAGACAAAAACAGCGCTCCCATCCACCAATTCACACCTGCACCACCCCATAGATGCCTACAATGACTACCGCTGGGCTGGGGCCAAAGCCAGGAGCCAGAATGCAATCCAGATGTCCCTCATGGGTTGCTGGGACCCAACTACTTTTTAGCCATTATTTCTTCCTCCAGGA